CACTGTCATATTTCATCTTTAAACTTTCAACAAACTTTAAAACTGTCATTTACCTTACAAAGACATTTCTGAATATTGACAGGGTCATTAATACATGGGAAAATACGCAAGTCATCAAACCTCTTTTTATTATTTTTTATTTTATCGTATTTTAAACTCATTATAAAAATATAGCATGTACGTTATGCACACGTCCTTACTATTAGGTTGTGAAACATATAATCTCATGTTATTACTGATATACAATAGATACTAACAACTTAGGTGACTGCAAAAAAATACTAATAAATGTGTAAAATCATAGAAAAACAATATTTTTTTATTAATTTGCCATACTTTCAACTTACCAATAACTAGCTTAGACAAGACTTTGTACTAATAAAAATACAAAGTTAAATATATTTTTAGGCGTTTCATTGAGATATTATAAACACTGACGCATGGACTAAATTATGTTTCTTACCAATAACTTTTGTAATCATATTTTTTTATTTTCTTCGTTATTTTAAAATAATCATATTACATTTTTCTTTTTCTTATAAGTTAGTATGTATATTTAGGTTTATTCATATGTTTAATTTTGTTCCTTTTTTGTAGCACAGTGTGTATTGATGTCATATTTACGTATATAAAGTAAAGCCTTCAACTCAACAGGCCAGGGATGTAGGTCACATTCAAACAACAAAACCTACACGGTACAAGAAGAGGATGGTAATCTTCAGCGTTGTATGTTATTAATTACAAACGTTGGACATAAACTATGTAGATTCTGTAAAATCATCAAAGATGAAATTATTGAAACTAGAAAACTAAATTGAGCGATTTTCTTATTAAATTTCATCAAACCGTGTAACCGTTTCTAGGAAAAGTAATGCAAATTATATTTTTAAATTTGTAAAATGCCTTGATGTGTCACAGAAACATTTGCTGTCAGAGAGAATTCTGCTTTGAAATGCCAACAAATGATTACAGTCGCAACTTTGACTCCAAGCAAAAACATCGAGTTCCTTGTTCTTTTCCATTTTTAGTGAGATTAATTGTACTTTTATTTGTTTATTGTTAATATTATATGATCGATTTTATAGATTTTTACTCTCTATGAAAGACAGTGGTTTTAAGCTATTAGCAAGTACTATTTATTTACATTGTTATACCCTCAGAACATCACCAGTAATACATCATTTAAGTAATTTGATAAATGAATATTCGTTTAAATGTTAAGCTGAAAAGTTGGTGAACATTTTTATTTTACTAATCAAACCACACATCTTCAACTAAAATAGAAACCATTAAAAAAATTTACTATTCAACGTTAACAAAATAAATTATAATAAGTATTGTTCATTGCGTCAAACATCTGAAGGTATTTGATGAATGCAAAGCCGACTATTTACTGCAGCACTTGTAACTCGAACACGAAATAAGCATTAAGCTGCAGCATTCTGCAGAGGTGGAGCACTCTAGCATGTAATAAATCAAACTACATCGGCCTGCTATATACTTGTATCCCGACATAGCGTAAATGTATAATAGCTTTATACATAGAGCTTAACTTTAATTGGTTCATTGTTTACATACTGCAGTACTTGTATTGTCAGTTGAACTCAACAATAAATCATTATTTTATAAAAAAATTAATAAAATACTCCTGCTATATTTTATTTTAAATATTAATACCTCATAAATTGGTAAATCCTGGAATAAATCAAAGGATTTTCAGAATTTAAAAGTATGGTTGCATTTTGATAGTATATAGGGTTGCCACTCATGAGTTTATTTCAGAAAGTGATTCTACAGTAATTCTAAATACAAAAGTGTATTGGGAATGTTATTGCAATTTTAATTGTTATGGAAATATTGCAATGCAAAGTAATTGACCTATATTGTAAGTTTGTTCTTTTAATATTCATTTTGTTTCATGTTAGAACTGCTAACTACTATTTCAATAACGAATGCCTGTTTTTATTGGAAAATTCCTTCGTAAATAAGGTCCAAGGTCCAACGGAGCGTAATGATACTCAATGTTGAAATATGGTGCAATTATTTTAAAGGTCTTAGTTTTATATTTGGAATCATGAATTTTTTACACACTATCTCCTAGGCGTTCGATATATTGTCTTTGAATGATATTTGTGTATAAAACGTGTAGTGTCTGTGTTATCCTGTTTTTGTCCCTACCAAATAATTAGTAATTTATTAATGGTTGACATTTGGTAATCTTCTTTACTTAATAAACTAAAACAGTTGTTTTTATATATTTTTCCTGAGTAAAACTCTTTGTAAAATGTGGTTTTCGTTTACGTGGTAAGATTATTTACACTTCATAAAAAGTTAGACGCACAAGGGAGTCTGCCAATTTCAGAATGTGAGAAGACATTATACTCTACGAGCGTATCATATCAACCAAGCTCTCTTCAAGATCAGCTGGGTCGTAAGTTCAGGCGCAGTAGATTTGCGTAAAAGCCTTAACGTCAGTAGAATTCTTTATATGACATCATTCAGAGTATACTTTTGACATTTTCACTATTATTTTCAAAAGTATACATTTAGAAACATAGACCTCATATACTTTGATCCTAAATCTGAAAGCACCCAGATAAAATTAAATTGTGTTTTATAATAATTTTATTATGATAGAAAATATTCAAATTTGGTAAAATAAAGTTTATAAGATCCCCATATTTATTATTATTATTTAAGGGAATAATAGTTATTACTTAACATAAAATTCAAACAAAACAATTTAATTGTTCCGTTTAATTATGAACGAATTATCCTATCTGAACTTAAACCTTAAAACTAAATTATGGTTCCCTTTGAAAACTTAACTGAAACCAAATAAAACGTAGGCTCCTTTTAAAAGTTTCATTACCTAAGGCATATTCAGTTTGATACTAACTTAATTGTTCTTATCAAAGAAATTTTGAAATATAATTGAATACCAAGAATTAATTTACTTTTATTTTTTCCATTACCTTTTCATGCATACAGTACAAAATGTGTTTCAACAAAATAAAACTTAAACGTAAATTGTTTTTTATTGTTAGGTTAGGGTAGTGCTTTTTGAATTTCCTTTTTGTTTTAAACCAATAATTGTCTAAATACTTAATTCAGCAAGGAAAACGTTGCATAGACTTTTATATTTACTACACATGTGCCTATTAGGACCTACTAAATTGCTCTTGGAAGATTGCAAAACACATTCAACACGCGTGGATAAAGATTAATAATTATATTAAAGGTATTCAAACTTAAATTACTTATTAATAATAAGTATACCTACCTAATATTCTTAAGACACAAAATACAGTACTTAATGTTAAATACCACTACAAACTATAGACTTAGAAAGTTTGAATAAAGAGGATTAAGGAACAATCGTCCCCGTATCTTCCTTCAAGTCGACTTCATTTCCGGTAACGACGAGTTTGTTCAGACCGGATATTGATAACTTTATCTTTATTCTTCTTCCGCTCATATAAGCAACACGCAGAGCTTGATCTTTCCAAACTTTTCTTTTAAAATAAGTTGAATAAATTGTATAATTTTTCTATTGAATGAATAAACACCTGTAAGCAGTGTTTTTGTGTTGCTATCAATAACAAGAAGTCTACACTTAGACTTGACAATACTTTATGGTCTCAGTGGTTTTACTCGTTTACATTTGTGAAGGTCCAATTGTGTACTTTGTAGAACCATATTCGGTTTATCATATAATAACTTTATTAAATAAAACCTGAAAGACAAGTCCTTAAATTAAGGTGTGCTGTAAAGTGTGTGGTGGTAAAGTGAAGGTTATCACAAAACTGTAAATATCGAAAAAAATAGTTGAAATAGGATGAGATGTGTTTTTGAATTCATCATATAAATACAGCAGATGGCTGAATGCGGATGAACTCGAATAGGAAGATTATCCATAAAAGCTTTCAAGGGAGAATATTCCGATGAATTTACTCACACCTTTTACCAGCTCATAGTAAAAAAGGTGATGTAAGGAGTTGTCTTTCAAATTGTATTTATAAAAACTAGTTAAAGATTAAGTTATTTTTTTAATTTAGAAACCTTGGCACGCAAAAAAAATAAAACCACTGAATCAATGAATATTGTTTAGTATTTTAGTCATGGCTTCTTTTTAGATTTTTACGCGAGTACAATACATTTTATTTGTTTATATAAAAAAATAAGTATTATCTTATGATACTTGGTGTACTGGTTCCTTAGTGTAATATAAAGAAATAAGTATTATCTTAAGATACTTGGTGTATTGGTTCCTTAGTGAAATGAAAATTAAGATACTTGATGTAATTAATTGTTCCTTAGTGTAATATAAATAAAAAAGTATTATCTTAAGATACTTGGTGTAATGGTTCCTTAGTGTAATATAAATAAATAAGTATTATCTTAAGATACTTGTTGTAATGGTTCCTTAGTGTCATAGAACTAAATTATTAAACAGCATCTTAATTCGTTATATTATACGGATGATTTTTTTGATTTTTTAAACTATCAGTTGAATGAGGTATATTTCAGTAATATCTCGATAGTAATGTACTTCTATCGATAGTGTTTTATATGCTTATGATACTAAATTAACTAAAAACACATAAACAATACGTAGGTCAGTTATAATGTTGGATTCTGCATCAAAACACGTTAAAAAACTATAAAACTTTGTTGATGTAGGTGAGGTTAAAAAATTGTCTACATACTTATATCAGTTTAGCTATAATTTATAGTGATAATTTGAGCTATAACCGGTTTAACCACATTCTTAACAGCTGCAGTACCAACAACCAACAACCAACAAATATTACACTTAATTGTCGCATTTTAGGATTTTTTTACCAAGTGTAGTTAATATGTGTATGTTATTTGGCTATTTATAAACAGTACTTGGAACTGCAATATTGTCAATCACAATTATAGAAAGTAAAACGAAGGAAAATAACACAACTGTCTCAAAACATCTGTATTTAAACACACATACATTTTTACACGCATTTATAAATGAAATGGAAAACATGGTTCAGGTCAAATTGTTATTCGATGAAACAACATTTTTTTACAATTATTACAGCTCTTTGGCCTGAAGTTGTAATTACACAAAAGGTTTATATACATTTATTTACAATTGGTAAAAAACTATTGTTCATTTACACCTGTAAAGTTCAGGTCTGAAAGATTCTATTCAATTGTTACATTTATCAATAAAATGTTTTGTATGGGTTCTTCTATGACAATATGAACATGAACAGAAAAACGCTCAGTTGTAAGCTGGGGTTTCTAAGGAAATATGAAGATGCCAAAGAAGCTAGAAGTTCCATGTTGTGCTCTAAAACAAAAATACATGTTAGTGTCATAATAGGCCATTCACAAATGTTCAAACTTATCATACATTTTAAAGACAGTATAATATACTAATCAAATGTATGAAATTGACCTAACTGGGAGACAGATTTACACGGCAAGATATTATTTGAATAGTTAATAATAGTAATTAGATTACAATGTTTTAACATGTATTCAATTTAATCTGTTTAATTTAAGCCAGTAAAGTATTTCAAAGTTATATTTTCTAGCCTACAAACCCAAAAGATATGTTTCATTTAAATACAAGTAGGAAGAAATTAAAATATTATTTATTTAATTAGAACAACTAAATCAATAATACATTTTACCAAAAATGTAAAATACGTTTATTGATGAAAAAAGGAAAGCCAACATCATTATAGTGTCACAACTAGTTTATATTTTCACTCATTGTTGTCCTTCTAACCCTAGAACGTAGAGCTTTTAGTTGGAAACATTTTACACATATTCCAAGCTAGACCAAGAGTTTGGAGGTATTGTCGCCCAGCTAATGAATGCCATTGGCGATTAGTGGGATTTGAACCCTAGACCTCGGAGACAGAAGCCAGCCAAACACGTCACCAGCTTACTTTCAATGCTGTACCTAACAAATAGCTTCTTGATCAACATTGTACATCTCAGTTGATTTCCGGAGAGTAAAAGATACGTCTAATAACACTTTAAACATAAGGGTACACATAAAACATCGATTGGACACTCCATCAGGCCCAATTGAGGAAATCGATTGCCACTTCCCATTTTTGGAAATATCGTCCTGTGAGTTATACATGAAGTGTAATGGTAGTTTACGCAACGATTGCGTAAAGATAGTGTTAACGACACGAGTAGAAAATGTAAGGTACGAGTGGCATGGAGATTATAAACATGTTTTCGTTTATAAACTCAATGCCACTGACATTGATGCTACGTCATCAAACACTATTGCACTACTCAACAATTAATTTGACCTGAACAGCTGATTAATAACTGTTGATTATTAACTGTTAACAACTGTTGAAGTTCGAATCATTACAATTTTTACTTTTTCTCTCTCAATCATTGGTCTGTTACCCATGTGGCTAAGTTAAACTGTTATGTAAGTAAACAATGCTGCTATGTGATACCATAGACTTAGACTCCTCATCCCATTGTAAATTTTGAAGCTTGTTTTTTGCATCTAGTTCATGTACGTCCACACTGATCGCTAGTGTAGACAACATTTAGTTTCTATTATTTTAGGGTTATTTTCATGATTTGTGCTTTTCTATTTGGTTATATAACTAGGAGACCAGTTATTGTTTATGATTATATCGTTTTATTAGGTTAAACGAGGTTTTAAATGACTGCAATAACAAGAAACAAATTGTAAACAAAACATAACCTCTATAGTTGGACGTACAAAACTAACAATAAAATTGGCTTCAGCTGTTCCATTAGGATGACTAATCTAATGGTGATACTTTTAAATTCTAAAAACTTAACTGAAACGGCTACAAAAAAAGATAAAATATGTTTGATGTGTACAGATTCTTCTAATCATTACTTATTATCCTTGCATTACTTAATTTTACATCTACTTCACTTAAGTTAACTGACCGACAATGTCTTCGTCAGGAGCTCTCGTATAGAACTGGTAGATATCCGACAGCTCGCCCCAGCCGTACTTGTTGTAAGCTTGCAACTGCGCCTGAAATACCGAAGACTCGTCCAACTCCCGTATGTCGTACCACAGCTGATGAGACAGTGACGTCGCGTTGGACGTGTCTACTGGGAACGTCTCCTGGACCCACTGACCCATCTGGTGCAGTGAGTCGTTGATCTGAGTGAACAAGTACATTTGTCAGTTCAAATAAATGTGTTCTTTGTTTCAGATTCGTAGTTGGTGATGGAAAGTTTATTTTGCAGAATTATTGTGGACATTTCCCAGAACCGATAGGTAAAACGTAACTACGCAATGGATTTTGTATTTAATCTCAAGGCATAAGCCAATTAAGTTGGTAAAAGCTCGTGCAGTAAGAATGAGGTAGAATGCTGTTGATTGATAAGCAGGTTTAACCTTGGAAATATACACGAATACTACCTAAATATGTGCAGGCAAGCATTGTGAGTGTTTTGCAGCTTGTTGGAATTTGTGATAAGTCAACCTCAGGTATTGTACTTGAATAAATTATTAAAATAATGTTTTCTAGTAAACAAAAATTAAGACTCCAGTTACTACTTAAGATCCCTTAGGCTTCAGCATGGAATAACATGGGCAACGCTAAAAATATTTAACTTTTGTTGATGCAGAAATCAATGGAATTTATTTAAAACACATGACAAGAACATGTAAATATTTAATAAAAAAAAATTAATGTATTTGGGTAGCACAAAATGAATAATGCAATATGATTATTTCAATTCCAAGTTTCTGTCGTTTTCAACGATCATGTCTAGCAGAATGTATTTCAACATGATTCAAACTGATTATAAGGGCAATTAAAAATGAACCATTTAGCTCATTTTATCGAGACTGTTGTTATTTGACATTTTTTAACTTAGATTCTAAATTTGTGCTTTCAATATACCCAGAGTCATTATTCTATTTAGTGGTTGAGATTGATGTAATATCACTTACCAGTATTTTCCTGTATATCAGTCTGACCTCCTCGAGGGGGGCGAAGCTGTCAACGATGAATGTGAGGTTATAGCTGTGTGTTGTGTGACTGTAGGGAGAGTTAAGTCGTACACACCGTCCTGGCTTGCCTACAGACATAACAAGACGTTAATTTGTAAACAACAGCTTCCATTAACATATAGGAGTAATGTTGTGATTCGACACATTGATTACATATGTCATTATGTTAAAAAAATATGAAAACGTATAAATACTATAAAGTTGAAATCACAGATAAAACACGTACGTATTTTCAGGCACATATTCTTTTCGATAAAATACCAGATACAATTCTTACAGATAAAAAACGAACAGCCAAAGAATAAGAAACGCAAAGGGAAAATAGGGCATGGAAAAATAAAGAAAGTATAGTTAATAAATAAATAAATATATAAATTAATTAATTAATAAGGTCTTTATTTTCAAGCGTTCATCAACGTACAAACTCTGTTTTTCATGACAAATTTTGTCAAATTAAGTAAACAAAACAATACAATAATCTATTCATAAAATCAAAAATAAAAGTATCTATACAGTAACATTTAGGTAAACATTTCTTTTGTACATTTCTTAAACCTATTATAACTGTACTCTTTTGAGGTGGGTGGCAAAGCATTGTACTTTTTTGGGCCAAAGTAACTAAACCCCTTCTTCCCCGTTTCCAGATTTGTCTTTGGCAAGTGCAACAGGCTGTCCTGTCGAGTACTCTGCTCATTTATTTCATGCCTAAACACCAACTTTTTCCTAAGGTATTCAGGTTTTCCCGTCTGAAGAACTTTGTGAACCAGATGAACAGTTTGTATGTCGGAGTACCCCATGATTGACAACACCTTGGCACTCAATCTGTACTCGCTAGTGTGATCAATTTTTTTTCAGATTGTAAACAAATCTAAGCACTCTGTTCTGCAGCCGGGTAAGGATCATCAAATGTTCCCGAGTAAGGCAACAGGCCAAAGCAGGAAGAGCATAGTATATGACAGGAAAAATGGTTGAACGGACAATTTCCAATTTAGAAAGTTCTGGCAAAATTGAACTTAGTCTGCGATGAGTTTTCAAACGTATTGTTACTGTTTTACAGATAGCTTTGACATGGTGAGAAAAATCAAGTTGTGAATCGAGTGTGACACCGAGAATCTTAAGAATATTACTCGAAATCAGTGGTTTTCCATCAACAAAGATACACTGTTCAACACAACTATTCGCTGAGTGGGCACCAGAAGATGGCCTATCTACAAGCAAGACAGAACACTTACTGGAGTTCAATAGCAAACCATGGTCATCCGACCATCTATTTACACTCTCTAAATCATTGTTGATAAAACGAATAGTCTTAGCTGTTTCTGAGGGCTAATAAGAAATTAGCAGTTGGGAATCATCGGCATAAGAGTGTAAAGAGCAGTGACTCAAGTTTTCTTTCAAATCTGCAGTGTATAAGGAATAGAATCGGCTCCAAGCAACTACCTTGAAGAACACCGACAAACTTTGGAAGTGCTGACGAGAGCTGTCCATTAACCTTTGTACATTGAGTACGCCCGGTCAAGTACGATGAAAACCACCTCACTGAGATGTTGTTAAACTTATAAAACCTCAGCTTTGCAAGAGGCAACTCGAAATTTACCTAATCAAACGCATGAGAGAAGTCAAGAGAAGTCATCACTCTGTTCAGGCCCTTATCTTTTGCAACGATCATTTCGTCAATAACATTGAGAAGAGCGAAACAAGTGCTAAACCCCTGCCTGAAACCTGATTGTGTTTCAGGAAGTAATCTTTCAGATTCTAAATGAAATACCAATTGCTCTTCCACAACCTTTTCCAGTATTTTGGACATAACAGGAAGGATTGAAATAGGTCGGAAGTCAGAAACCAAAGAAGGGTTTAGGGTTTTGGGGAGAGGAACTACCACGCTCTGCTTCCAACTAGAAGGAAAACTTCCAGTGCTCAGTGATACATTGATTAAATGAGTAATTGTTCCAATTAAAAAATGGGCTCAAACATCTGATCATTTTTATTGATATTCCATCCACCCCAAATGCAGTACTTGTGATACTGTTCATCAAATCCTTACTTTCTGAGACAGGAGAAAAAGTAAATGGTCATTTTATCCCTGCACATTTATTGCTGCTAAAGAATCTCAGTGTTTCGGTGCTCACAGTCTTGCTACAACCCATAGTTGAGAAATAATGGTTTAAATCTTCTAGTCCAACAGAATGGTCTTTTGCTTCAACAGAACTCATTACACCTCCAGCTCGTAAAGTGGCCCAAAATGTTTTGGGCTGTTTTGTATTCAAATTCTCAGAAAAATACTTTCTCTTAGCTAATCTTATGGCCACATTTAGTGCATTGCGGGCTCTGCAGTAAGCATTTCTTGAAGCCTGTGTTTTCAGAGTCAGGTAGTTATTTTTACATTTATTCTTTTTATTTGTAAGATATTTTACATTTGAGTCTCTCCAAGGCGATTTCTTTCTGGTTATCCTTTTTCTCACCATGGGGGTACATTCGTCAAACACTTGAATTATATTTGATGTAATTACATTAGAAATGTAGTTTACGTTATGCTGTGTCTTTCCGTTATCCCAGTGTATATTGGAAGCAACGTCAATAAACTTACCGCCATCAAAATCTCTGAAATTTCTATATGTAATAAACTTTGCTTTGCTTTGAGGCTTATTGTATGGCACATCACAGTAAGTCAGCTTGTGGTCAGTGGTCCGTTTTCCATTTTGAGTAAAAATGTTGGAAGTATCAACCATTCCTACTTCTAGATTGTGGGCTTTGTCAACAATTATTAAGTAAATCAGAGAGGATGAGCTTTCTGTAACACGTGTGGGCTCTTTAATGATCTCAGCAAGGCCCATTGATTGAAGAATTCTCTCAAGATATTTTACATCTGCCCTTTTTTGTATAGAAGATTCACATTCAAATCACCCAGTAAAATCACTGAATCCACATTCGTTGACTCATCGATGTACAGAGCGTGGATTAAGGAACTCAAGGTCGAGTAAGGAACGTCTGGAGGTTTGTATGCAATGCAGATGAGGAGCTTCAAACCTTTGAGATTAACAACACCACTGAGATATTCAATACGGTTATCAACATTTTGAAGACGAACACCAGTACGGATGTTGTCTATGTTTAGCCAATGACTTACCCTGTACTACGACTGAGCCAGATGCCTTGCCGAGATTGTTCTCTGCCGTGCACGTATAGTTGGCAAAGTCCTCAGTTTGGATGTTGTCTATGTTTAGCCAATGGCCACCAGGGGCGACACCAGTCTTAAACCGACCTTTGATGGTTAGTTGGATGCTGCCTTGGTACCAAGTTACCTAGAAAATACCATTAAGTAATTTATGGTCTGTTGATACTTTAAATATTGATAACAGTTATAAAATACCAACAAGTATTGGTATTCATACAGTGGATGTTTTTTCAGAAGTCTATATCCTAAAAAAGTCCTACTCAAACCTTGAAATCATTGATATTATTATTAATAATAAGTATTGGTCTGGGTACCCGAGTGGTTATAGTGCTCTCCTTCAAATCTGAAGGTCGCTGGTTTGATTCCCAACGAGATTGTTTCCAGAACCAGATGCTATTCAGCTATTCGTTACCACGCATTAATGATACTAATTTACAAAAAGGTCGTCATTAGATGGTAACAAGACCAAAGTTTGGACCGTTCGCTTTCGAATAGTAAAAATAATCCCATTAGCGTAGAATAATACACACACAAAATGTACTCAGTTAAGTTAATTAAGTATAGAATAAATATTTGGTACTGTCTTAATTTTTATTTTCCAAAAATTCCCAACAATTTGAGTGGAAATAAATGTTTAACAGTTTAAACAGTTTAACTTGTTAGTTTATAAACAAGTGGCATTCAGCCTTCAACCATGAACAAAATATTTTTTAATATAAATCAAACACAATGGTGCAAACAATGCAATAGTGCATTAGAGATGGGTGCAATAGTGTCTTTAAAGGTGTCTTAATCAATTCAGCAGGATTGAGTTTTTTACTCACCTTAGGCAAAGGCAAGCCGTGAATTAGACAAAACAGCCTTACTGACGAGCCCTCGGCAGTATATACCCAAGGTTTGTCTATCTCGATTTCTGGAGGATCTGAAATAACAACAAAATTAGGCATTCTCTGCAAAAACACATTAAAAGCAATCAAAATGTACCTAACTGGCCCAAAAATTACAATTTATAAAATGTCATTGAGAAATAAGTTTTAACTTCAGTTACTTTCTATACTATCTGACTAGGTATTTTTAGTAACCAATTAGTACACTATTGACTCACGTAAAACATCCAGTTTCAGATCCACAGACACTGGGGCTCCCACGCCGTTGGAGGCAGAACACTGATAGACTCCTGCATGATGGCGCTCTACCCGCTCTAGCGTGATGGAGAACCCTTCTTTGTACAGAGATGGACGGTCCTGCAACAAGAGACATAGTAAAACAATAGGTAGATAGAGAAAACTATGTACTCTTCATTGATGGTGAACAAATCCTTGCAGAAAGACGTTCTGTAACTAGAGAGAAAATAGATATTTTCGTACAAAAACAAAGATTTATATAGCAAACTCATTTTTGTTGGTAAAATTTCTAGCTCCACGACTATCAGATATTTGTTAAGATACCTTTAAGATAGTAACTTTGACTATTAAAATAGTCAATGATAATAAATTAATAACTTAAACAATAATAAGAGTGAATAAGTGAGTACTCTTTTATTTTTTGACGATCAATAATTATATATAATTGGACGTTATAGGTGGACAAACTGTTTTAACACTTTAAAATATATGACATCAGTTAAAAGTATTAAAAAAGATTAAAATAAAGGTACAATTAATTAAATAACTACTATGAGTGTTTGAACTTATTAAGTAAGGCTGTAAATAATTTTAATGATAAACTAGAAATATTTACGACTTTGTACCAATTTTTGTAACCAAACAAACTGTTAAACGTTATTTGATTACATATTGACATTACATATTCAATATCTTGCCTTGAAAACAAAATATTATATACAACATGTGTTGTATAACAAAAATATAACCATATAGAGGGAAATATGTGTTAAAATATTATTTTATTTTAAAATATGAATTACAGATTTTTTTAGAGCTTCATTCCACTAGCCAGTATAAATGTCCACATAAATAGTCCACATTGTATAAATTTTTTAGCATATAAAAGTGACCTTTAGGTTTAAATGAAAGCTGATTTTTACCCAACCCATCGATAACCTTACAAATTACTGTTTGTTTTTATGTGGATTAACAACACTCCTGTATACACATATTATTTATGATTGTGATATCGAATTTGATTAGGTTGAAATTATGTATATTGAGTATTTACGAAAACATTAACACTTAAGAAAGGTACCATAAACATCAAAATAGTTGTTGCATTACTAAAAACGTGTACAATATTTTCAGGCCAAACATTATTTTCAAGCCTTTATCTGGACTGTTAAATGTAGAGGTATAAAAGAGTGTTAAGTGAGAACGGTTGAGCCTTCAATCATCTGTTTGATATTTCACAGATTCAGAGTGGATGTGCTTTGAAACGAGTTCTCTTTCAACTCTTTCATTCAAAGAACATATTTATTCAACTTTGAGATCAAAGGTTATGTTTTAGGGAGCTAATTGCTTCAGTGTTTGCCTAAAATGGATCTTTGATTTATGTTACACTGTTATGTGTTAAATATATACAGTAACCAGCCTACTAATCATGTTATAATGAAGTGCTGATTGTGTTGAGATGTGCGACTGTTTGTTGTGCTGCATGCTAGTTTACGATAACACATGCAGTTGGATACTAACCTAATTAGTTTATTACGAGAAACGTCATCTGGGTTATTTTATTGTATACAGGGTGTCTTGCAACCATATAAACAAACGCCACGTTATTTAGCATGTCAAATGAAATAAAAAAATTAACATAACATGAGTCCTAAAACATTACATTTTTGGTCTATCTTTCTGTATACGTGGTTTTACAAAAACATCTATTGCTCCTTAACCGCTGGAGCTACAGCGTTGAAATTCTGTAAATATGTTTATCTTATTGACCAGTATTTTTGTGCAAAATATGAATTAAAACTCATGAACCGTAAAAAGATGGCAGGTTTACAAATGTTTAAAAATGTCCATTTAAACCGTTAATTTGACAAAATATTTGCAGGTTATGTCAAAGTTAATAAATTCTATGCTGATTACAACCATAATTTGTAAGCTTAGTTCGGACAAAGAATAACTGAGATATTAAATTTGTCTTGCCATACCCTACAATTTTCTCTATTTAAACAATTAAATGTTAAAAAGTAGTTTTATCATTTTCTACCAGAATCTATATCTCGTTGACATAAAAAAAATTGTCATTTTTGTAAATTTATAGGTTTTTTTTTATTTTTCTTTCATTTTTTATATTTTACTGAGGCTACTGCTCATCCACGAAAAAATGTATACAGAACACAATTTATAGTGATAATAAGTGTGTGTGGATATTTCCTACAGTTTTTTGTTTACTTAATTTCCTTTTTCAAAATGACTCTGTCGTTCAAAAACTTATCCAAAATATATTCAGATTTTCAAAATAAATGTCTATTAAAACCTGTAAAATTCAACAGATTACGCTCTGATATTTTTCGTATGAAACCAAAAATATGTGTACCTTAATGTCTAATATTTCATAACCAAAGACTTTAGAACCATTAAAACAAGTACCTAGTGATACTATATGGCGACAAAAAAATTGCTTTTAAAAATGCGTTAATACATGGCACAATCATTATACCTAGTTTTAGTTGTTCAAAAGCTACGGAAGTCATACAAAACAACGAAATATAACCTTAAATCCACCTCAAGTGTTTACGATTAAGTATTTTGGCCAACTCTGGACTTCTTATGAAGTTTCTCCTCAGAGACACCTGAGTACGAACGTGACTGAAATTAATGAAGTTCAAAACTCAATCCTTGGCTATAGTATAGCTTAGAATTTCAATGCATTATTGTTAGTAAGAAGTATTTTTAATGATGTAAATATTTTTTGAAACTGTCAAAAATACATTTTAAAATTGATATTCAATAAATATTTCTATCTACATTAAATTGACATTTAATTTATTTGTATTAAAATAATGTATTTGGTTTCATTAAAAACAAACTAGTTCAACGTACTGAAATGTATAAGTTTCTAATATGCTTATTTATTCAAACTATTTCCCCGATCTTGTATAGGTAATTTGTTTAAACATTTGTTCATCTAATAAGGAAAGCTGATGTCTCGAACGCATCACATCGAATCCACAAATAAAAAAGAAACTCCACATTCCATCATTATATAGAAATCCATATCTTAATACTTTTTACTGTATTATTATTACTTAATTTTTATAAATCACAAAAATAATCCATAAAGGTTTTTCCTAAGTGTTATCTATAAACAGTTCGATAGTCTATGTCCAGTTCGATAGTCCATGTACAGTTCAATAGTCTATAGACAGTTCGATAGTACAAAGACAGTTCGATAGTCTATAGACAGTTCGATAGTCTATAGACAGTTCGATAGTCTATAGACAGTTCGATAGTCTATAGACAGTTCGATAGTCTATAGACAGTTCGATAGTCTATCAGGTCGATAGTCTATGTACAGTTTGATAGTCTATAGACAGTTCAATAGTCTATAGACAGTTCGATAATACAAAGACAGTTCGATAGTCTATAGACAGTTCGAAAGTCTATCAGGTCGATAGTCTATGTACAGTTTGATAGTCTATAGACAGTTCAATAGTCTATAGACAGTTCGATAATACAAAGACAGTTCGATAGTCTATAGACAGTTCGATAGTCTATAGACATTTCGATAGTCTATGTACAGTTCAATAGTCTATAGACAGTTCGATAGTCTATAGACAATTCGATAGTCTATGTACAGTTCAATAGTCTATAGACAGTTCGATAGTCTATGTACAGGACAGTTCGATAGTCTATAGACAGTTCGTTAGTCTATGTACAGTTCGATGGTTTATAGACAGTTTGATATTCTATAGACAGTTCGATAGTCTACAGACAGTTTGATAGTCTATATACAGTTCGATAGTCTATAGACAGTTTGATTTGATTTGATCTATATACAGTTCTGTCAACTCACCTTCCTAGTCCACAGTATGGAAGGCATAGGGTTGCCAGATGCTGCGCATGTGAGGGTGATAGTTACTCCTCTCTTGGTAGTCAGCTGACCATTGGGGACCGAGCTTTGTATAGTTGGTGGCACTGAAAATATATAAAATATCTTAACATATGTAACAATATTTTTAGGCCTCTAAAGAAAACTATTAAAATATCTTTGCTAGAGTATAGATTCAATGAGATTGTAAGATAGTTAAATTTTTATTTAATATTGTTGGATGATTTAAATTAAAAAATAATTACATATTTTGGTTTTTAATTAATAAATATTTTAAATAGAAGGTGTTATTTTAGAAAGTCACTTTTCATCATGTTTAATGTCTGTTGTCAGTTTATCTATATTCCAAACACAGGGTTTTTTTTATATAAAGAGGAAACATAACGCTCACAAAACCTGCACAAGAATGTGTATGAATCTAATAATACACAGTAGGCCTGCAAGGGCTAAGTTGTTTAAATACTTAGATTATTTAACAACACCATTTGTAAAGGGGTTTCAGCCAAATGAATACTAAACACAAATCTTCAGGGAACTCTTGTGACACTAATATTTGTCCTTCACTATGATGCTACTATTATTTTTAAAGGTATTTTGGTTTATTCAAATACTGAGTTTAGATACATTGACACATTTCAGGACATTTATGCCAGTACCTTTGCCAAAGGTAGACTTTTAAAACCTTACAACTGTTTATGAATATATCATGGATCAAATTCGTCTCCATTTGACTAAATTCAAACATCGGCTAATCAACACAAGTAGAATTATCATCTCATGGTAAATTTTGAAGCTCGTCTTTTGCATCTGGTTCATGTCCGGAGACACTGATCCCTAGTGTCACTGACATTTTGTTTCCATTTTTTTAGGGTTAATATCGTGATTTGTGCTTTACTGTTTAGTTATATAGCTAAGGGACAAATTGTTTATGATTAGATCATTTTGGTTAAACGAGGTTTTAAATTATGAAATTACAAGGAACAAATTGTAAACTAAACACGAAATCTAAAGTGCACCAGACAGTCCTAACAATAAAATTGACAGCTGTTCCATAAGGATAAGAAATCTACCAAGGGATTATGTTTTATCTATGGTTCAAAGCAAAGCATTTCAAGCAATACATGGTTCTAAGGAACTCTATCCTCATACTCATATGGCTAAATGATGATGTTAGTACCCATCAATTCTACTCACACAGGACTTGTACGTTGTGTATCTGGTCTCTCGCCACTTCATCAGCTATCTGACACACGTACTCTCCGGCGTCTTGTGACGTCACGTTGACGATCCTCAGGCTGTAACCGTCTACCAAGGACAACCTAGCGTCTCTGGTGACCTTTAGCTTGTCTGCCGTCAGGATCAGGCTGTCTCGTCGCCATAGCAACACGTACGTCCCTGGCAACACAAGTGTATCAGCTTCGCTTGTGAAACGTTGCTCTTGTATGGTGTCAATCGTTATTGAACAATGCTTACATTTATAGACATGCACTGTGGATGTGATACTCCCTGGTGTGGATTAACGTCCGCAAAAGTGAGTACTACCATCCGCAGTACTATCCTGATATGACCAATTCGTAAATTACAAGGCAAACATTTGGTTCGGATTCCACTATAAACTGTAGGTCCCTTAGCTTCCATCGTATGGGTTATTATAACAGTCCTGTCTAAGGAACATGTCGGCCTTAGTCACTAACAAGAAGACAAGATCGTGTAACATCCTACACGTTTCTCTGTACATACTTGGCTTAAAATACCTACCTTCGTATGGTCACCAATTTTTTTTTTAGTATTAAAACAAGTATTTAAACAGTACACACTTTTAGTTTCAATGCGTGGAACTGCTACGACTCCAATTTATGTCATGGAACCTTATCTAAATTTTCTGTTATTATTCATTTAACAAATTTATTTTTACAATACAACTTATGCTTAAAACAATAACTGCGAGCATCAATTTATATACTGTTTGTACACGAACACAATGCTTAATACTTCGTTATTATTTTTATCTGTTCTAAATGCGAGATCTTTTTAATCATAGATAAAGGACATAAAAGGGTCATAAGATATGTAATGTAGCCAATGGATTATTATAATAGAAGCTTTTCAAAATAAATAATTTAATGCACTAACTCATTGAGTGCTACAGTAGTTTTAGAATATTTTAAAGAAATATTAAGGAGTAGATAAAACATGTTTTATAAGATTTTCTTTGACAAAAATAAGTCCCTATTCCTGTATAAAAGTCTCATTTTGGTATTAAAACTTGAATAATCTCGTTATTTTGAGTCGTGATATTCTAAAATGTATTTTTAATAATTTTACAAGTTTTAGTTTAAAAGCTTATACTTTATCGTTGAATGAAAACACAACACAGCCCATACAAACTAGACATTCCATCCCCATGCTGAAGTTGTCACCGGTGTTTATACAAAATCGTCGTAGTTGATGTATGCCACCGAAAGATTGCTCTGATCTAAATCGCTAATTTCTGACCATTACACTTTTGAACTAAGTTAAACAAATGGAAATGACTTATTGTTACCTATGACCCATCAACCTCAGCAACAAAAAATGCCTTAGAAAATATAATTTTTGACCCTCTGCGCATTCTGTGACTGGCTCGTACAACTAATTTCTTTTTAATAAAAAATTGCGACAGCTCGTCCATATGGTATGGGATATCTACTTCTGTATCCAATAGTCAATTCTAATTCATTTTAAAGAGCCATGTGATTTTAATACTCTGATTATATAAACAAATACATATTTTTAGTGCGTTTATAATTTAAAATCAGGAAACCCGTGATATTAAATTACTAACAAATTAAATCGCAAGATAGATCAAGAGTTTGACAGTTCAAGAATGTAATAACGATTTCCATTTTGGAAATATTTTGATAAAATGTCGTCTCAATTTCAGTAAATGATGAGAAACTCATCCCTAGCTTAGAAGTTCGTTGGCTGATCGGTGTTATTGAAGCGCTTGAACCCATTTATTACAATTGACATTTCCCTTGAATCTTCAAGTTATGTTCTTTTTTTATGAATTGAAACAATAGTTGGAATGCCATCGTTATTCAATAAAACATTTGATTTTATTACTATTATGTTTTAATTCGATAACACGTATAAACATTTGAAGCAAAGTGTTGAGTAATGTTTGTTTCTTTCCATTCTTTGTTTAAAACAAGCAGTAAAATACTTAATCTCCTAGAAACATTTGAATTCAGTAAACGGTTTGTAATTGTAATTTAATTAATTTTATAAGTTAATCAGATTAGCAAATCTGTACATATCAACAACTTGCTCATAGAACAAGGATAACATTAATGCAATTAAATATCAAATTATTCAACATCCATTGCTTTATTAGTGTATGAGTACGGACAGTTTGATAATCACAAACCTTGTTTTATTACGTTATACTTATTACATATATTAGTCTACATACAAAATCTACATATCGTTCGACAATTCATTTATGCTGTAAACTGTTAATGCAGCACATAACAAATGTGATTTGTAGGTCTAATTTACACCTTCTAAACGTTAACTATAAGGTTAAAATGGTTTTTATTGATGACTACACAGGCGTAGTATTGACATTACCTTTTAAGAGAGTCCTTGGAGCCTAGATTTTCTAACTCATAAAACAATTAAAAAACTACGAAGGACATTTCTAATCCCACAGTATACTAGGTATTTAAATTACAACCACTCTGGTGTTTGAACAAATATTTTTAGATGGTACATAACTCTTCAGTAGCTGTTAGAAATTAACGAAATTGATATCGCACTTATGGTAGGCAATCAAGATGGCCGTTAACTTCCATGGACTCCCTTGGAGAAGGAGTCAAAACTACAAAGAACATTTCCAATCTCACAGTATACTAGATATTTAAATTATAATCACTTTAGTGTTTGAAAAAATATTGTTGGACGATAAATAACTCTTCAGCAGCTGTTTAAAATAATCCAAGATGGCCGCTAGCCTCCAAGGACTCCTAAGAGTTGATAGGCTTTTTATCCCAGGGACATCTTTAGCTACGTAACCACGCGATAGATATCTTCTATGATATATTTACCTAGATTGTCAACAGCACACGGCAAGACAAGGGTTTCTCCAGCCACAACTCTGAAGGTTTGACCCTTGGACTTGAAGTGAGGAGCGTCTGATCCGGCTATGTGTACTCCTGCAAACAAAATGTCATGTTATTTGGTAAAAGCAAAACTAAGCGGTTTTTTAATACTCATATTTTATTAAGCCTATTTTCATATTTTTTGGTCGGTTAACTAAATATTATGTAAAATATTTGCCGGATATTTTTTATCAATTATATAAGATGGGGTTGCCACTATGTGCGTATTTTAAACCAAATGTGAGTGAAGGATGAGTGTGGGATGAGTGGCGCGATCTTGTAGTCTTGTTAGTGACTAAGGCCGACATGTTCCTTGGACACAGCTGCCCATACAGCCATTGGCAACTAAGGAACCTACAGTTTATAGTGGGATCCAAACCAAATGTTTTCCTTGTAATTTACGAATTATTGGTCTAATGATCAGGATAGTACTGAAGATAGTCATTGTACTCACTGGTGCAGACGTTAATCCACACCAGGAAGTATCGCACCCACAGTGCATACCTAAAATATCCACAATTCGGGACCTCATAGTAGCCGTATTACAGGATGACGTCACCGTCCTAGTCAGTGGAGTGTTTGTGTGTTTGTTAAATATGATCTAATAATAGTATCTAACTGAATCTCGGTAATTAATATCTATCTAAATGTTACAATCGAAGAGTTGCAATATTACAAATTGTAATTTAGATATAAATCTTCATTCCATGTCCTAATTTAAAAACGCATACATGAACGGAAAGCTATGAAATTCATAAAGAAAATCAATCTCATATAATTAACACGGTTTAATTCGTCAAGGGTAAGTCGATATAAGAATGTACAAAATCGGGAACAAAATTCGAATCGAATTGATCTCCTTCGCATTCCCCTGAATAGCGTATAGCCAATTTAGTTTTATTCTAACGTAACTTTCCATAGATTTATAAAACAGCGATCTCTCTCAGCATCGTCTTCTGTATCAGCAAATTGTCGAATTCATCAGTTATGTAGCTTTCATCAATTTAACCCTGAGAGTTATTTTTAGAACTCATTTAGAACAAGTGTATACGAGTAGTTTAGATTATAAGCTCTGAAACGTCTCATAAAAACTTTCAATCTATTGTTTTATTGTAAAAATGTTTCATCAATAATTAAAAAGTAAATATTATCATTCATTGATGCTATAATTTTATTCATGTAAAAAGATCGATAAAAACGTATTTTCTCTTTGAAGAGCCTAAGTTGGTAAGCATGTTAATGAGGGGGTCAAACTTAGCTTTACCTTCCAAAAGAACTAATTTATGACTTGAAATATACTTTTATAAAAATAATGCTAATACACTATGAGCATAACACGAAGAGTCCTAGTTTGAATCATGAATAAACTAGTCCAGTTTATATTTTAATTGGAGCACATTTTAAAGTTTTACTGTACCCTAGTTTGGATACAGCTTTATCATATACAAAATATAAAAAACGTGTATTAACTTAGAAGTAGTTAATCTATTTGAAGAAATCTTTATGCTCTTTTTGAATTTTTTGCAAATGTTGTTAACTTTTACAGACCGTTACGATTCCTTTGGGTTATGTAGAGAACATTTACGTATTAAAATAAAAGCAATAATAATAATAATAGTAGTAATAATAATAATAATAATAATAAAAGTAAATAGATAATAATTGCACACATATTAAAACCTTTTCAAATAATATAATGTAGTTTATGTGCATTATTTTGTTGCTTGTTTTTCATTTAGATCATTTTAATACTTAACTACAAAACCTTACTATTAAGACTGACTAAAAAGTAAAAAATCTATTTCCATAAATTTTTAAAGACATAATAATAAACTGACAGTTGCACCTTTACGAATATTATGAATCCCATATCTATATTTTCCTCAAACAACCATATGTTTTATGGGTAGTTGTTTTAACATATGAAGTATCCAAGAAAAGGTTGGCCTCATATAAAACCAAAATAAAGTGTTAGGTCTTATTTTGTGACAGTTAAAAAACGACCAAATATTTAACTGGCTGCTAAGGTAAAACTATAGCGTATAAATTTATTGTAAATTGATTAAATAAATTTTGCTTATTTACTTTAGCTTTTCCTTCTATTGCAGGTAAAAACACTGGGTTAATTTGAATGTAGGAGTTATAGTTATTTAAAGTGAACCATATTAATATTCGTGGAAATAAGGGTATGTATTTATTAAGTAATCTAATGCAATTGTGTATTACATTAAATAAATTGAGTTCTAGAAACGTTTTAAATGCAGTCAAGAGCCAAACGCCGCAGGGAGATGAGTTGGTTATAGACTGGAATTGCAGATAAATTGTCTACCTTCTACGAAAATGCAAACAAAATAGTGCAGTTTATGATGCTATTGAAATGTAAATTGAATTCTGCTTTTGAAGTTGCTGGTTTTCAACTAAATGTATTACACTTACTATCTGGAATATTATTGGACCTAAAAGATAATTTAATCATGAAATATTAAATTTTCTTCATTTTTGTAGTAATCTAATCAACTATTGTTGCTCAAAATGGGGCACCATTTCAGATTTTATCAAACAACCGTATAGTATTATATATGCGTTGAGCTTTCCACATTTATGTTGAAAGTGTTTTGAAGTACATTTTCTTAAACCTACAAATTGCATCAGTATAAAGATTTATTTTGTGAAAAAACTTAATAGTTTTGAAAACGTTATAATCCAAGTTCCTAGAACAGTAATTACATTTTGTACAATATTTCTTTAGCTACTTTTTTGTATGAAATTTAAATGATACTGAAAAAGGCTAAAAACACATGTAACGTATCTGCTATTAGATTTTAACCGTCTAATAAAAAACTTCATCAACTTGCTGCTCCAAAAGGTATAATATAAGATAATACAATTAGTATTGAAACTTTTGTTATTGTAAGAATACCAAATTTAAATAACAATTTTACATTCTCATTATCCTGGCAGTATTTAGCTTTAAACAAATTCAATAGGGATAACATTATTTACTATTTCCTTAATTAAAAGCCGGACAACTATATTAATATCTACTGCTTTGTCCCTCACCATAATTGCATAACTTAAACACAATATAATATTTTTATTAAAATCTTCGAAGTTTATCAAGGTATTTTCGCTAAATTTAAACGCTTTATGTGAAGAAAATTGAAGAAGACAACCTCTAAACGTGAATTTATTTTTCAGAGATGTCACTTTAAACGTCAGTTCAAGTACTTTATACTCACAGTTATTGCGAACAGATATTGTTCTCGTTAAGTTTGTCGTAGTAAACGGAAAACAAATTGTAATTTTCAGCATGTAAACATAAATGGTATATGCATAAATAAATTTAATGCAAATAAGTTTTAATACATCTATGAAAATGTGATAAAACTTGTTAACATTTCTGAAAGATACAAAGCCAAAAATAAGTTAAATGCTATTATGCATCTTTTTTTTTGTAGGAACGTTGGAATAATCATCTTCGGACATGGAAATGAGTGATTTTAACTGTCGAAGAAGTTGGTGAAATTGACAAGAACCTAAGTTGGTAAGCCTGTTAGTGAGGGTGGTCAAACTTAGCTTTACCTTCCAAAAGAACTAAGAATGACTTGGAATAAACTTTTAGAAAAATAATGTAATTTACCATAAGCAGACCAGAAGAGTCTGTCATGTTATATATGTGTGGTTATATTAATATACAGTAGGCCTACATGTATTTATTTATTTTGAATAAAAAACACATTATCATGAATAATAAGGGATTCTTTTCTATTTAAAAAGCGAGTCATCTTTTGCACGTAACATTTTCAAACAAATCATATAAACGGTCTACATGAGTTAAAGTAATTATTTAAAATTCAACGTTTGGGTTGTGTATATAAATGAATTTACAGGGTGTCCAACGTAGAGGTTTAAACTTTTTTTTTATTTCTTGCCCGTTTATAGACCTAACATTTTTAAAATTTACAAAATTTTTTAAGTAGATTTTAAACATATTCTGGGAAAGTTACAGCTCCCTACCCCTTGTAAAAACGAATGGTGGCATATTGAAAACAGATACTTTATAACATTAAAAGTGGAGTTTTTGGTTTTGTGAAATTTTTGTATTATAGCCTAACATTCTATGGAAATGAGGTTTTTCATCAGGAAATTAGAACATAGCCTAATAAAAAACCTACAAGTAGATCCAAAAGTATTAAAACTGTGATCTCTCCCCAGTTAATTAATAATAATAAACTAATTAATTTAATACAAATTCATTATGCCATAATTTCCAGAATATTTTTAAGTCCTACTTTATACATTGTGTACATTCTCAAAATGTTGATTAATTAATGGGCAAGAAATATAAAATCAAACGTTTAAACCTCTTCGTGGGACACCCTTTATCTAACGTAATTTTCACAGAATAGTTAATTAATATCCAAATGACAGATGTTGAGTGGTCTATTATTGGACTAGCTAGAAGACAATCCGCTCACAAACGGGACTAACAGCATTCACTATTTAGATTTGTTGGTCATTACTATCCGTTACCAATCCACTTATAATATAATTGTTTTATTACAGTTAGGATTATAAAGAGATTGGTTTGTCTGTTTGTTAAATATAAACGTTGACTACAGTGTCTGTATAAAATATTGAACTATCATTTTTTACCATAGTAAATAGCATTATAAGAGGATTCATGCAGGTGTTCAATGCTAAAGTTTATCTACATGAAAACATTATATTGGATTTTAATATGTTTAATTTATTATCGGTTAGTGGATGGTTAAATGGATAGTAAATTACACGAACATTCACCTATTGGGTCTGATGATGATTGGAGTGTCCAATCGAAATCGATCACCACTTACCATCTTTTATATGTATCTACCGTCTTGTGAGTAAACAGTACAAGTGTAAATATATTATTACAAGTGTTATTTGACGTGTTTTTATATTTTCTGGTAATTGAATAACACGTAAGATGCTGATAAAGAAGTTATATAATTTAGTAAACGTCGTGAACACATGAAAAAAAACAAAGATTGAGTGTTTCAATCAAAATGCTT